ACATAAAGACTCCCTTTTCCATGCTACAGGGAATCTCTCCCCTGCATATAGTCAGAGGCACAAAAAGTGGATCCAGGCTCCTTTTAGTAAGAAGCTGGAGTCTGGCTCCTGCTCTGACACTATTTCTCTCCTTACCCACATTCACTTTTTCCTTTGTTGACATGTGGCAGCTCTGCGGTTTAGAGCTTGTTGATGTGTAGGTCTTGTCAGCCAAGTTCCTTACTTCTGCCTTTTCTAGGGATGTGGAGAGTTGTGCACTAAACTCACAGTCTCTGCAGCAGCATTTAATTAAAAGAGAGAATTATTGGGAAAAAATACTAAAACTAGAAGTAGAAATAAAAATACCTTGTGTTTTGGTCTTTTGATGTATTAAAACACCTGAAGTTTAAAACAATAATACATTAACTTGAATAGTTATGTTTTTCTTATGGATAAGCATTGTCTTCCATAGTCTTGATTTAATTGTAAATATTTTTCTCAAATAGCACAAAAAAATGAATCAGTGGAATGGCTTTTGTATCTATTTAGTTATATTGTAAAGATATGAGCTAAAAATTTTATTTTCCAACTTAGTTACAGAAAGAAGATATGCATGTAGTAAAGCTGAGAAGATAAATAATGAAGTATTTTGTTTACTAACTTATTAAATTACATTTTTTTCATTCAGTTACCTGAAGAGGCATTTGCATCTGACCAGTCTCAGTCTCTGCTGCAGTGAGTATAATACTTCATACAGGAATTCTAGTCAGGCATACTGCAATGAAACAATTGTTTACCTCCATTTGTATGTTATTTGATTTCTCCATGTTCTTTTGTGAAGCAGTTTTCTTGTTTGCTTAGTGAAGGATCTGTATTCATGACAGAGGTAATCTGTGTCCAATGTGGATAAAAGTATATCTGTATTTGTTTTTATTGATGATACTACCTTCAATGGTATAAGGGCATAAGCAACAGGAGTGACATAAAATACTCTGGGAAAACCACTAGACAAACAAAAATATGTCATATTAAGCCTTTTATCTTTAGAAGCTGCAGAGGGATTTCAGTGGAAGATGGATTTATAACAGAAATACAAAAAGAAGTAATAAAAAATAGGACAAGACCATTTTTCACTTGGAGAATGAAAGTACAAACATACCTAGCTCCACTTAGGAAATATGGAAGTCTTAGTTACTGCATGCACATAAAAGAGAGAAGTATGTCTCTAAAATAACTGCAGCTTTTTTTCCACAAGTAATTGTAATAAACCCAAAATACAGCAGAAATTTTCTTAAGGTGAGCAGATTACAGTTGTTCCTGAATAAGAACTTTTTATTGTATTATTTAATTCCAGGGGTTGGATGAACTGTCCATCACTTACTGCAAATAGTTCTGAGCCTGTTTTTTTGCCAAATGTTGCAGTAGAGGAACAACAAAATACTTCTGTAGGTAGGTTGCATTTTGTACAAAATTGAAAGTTGCTGTAGCTGTGGCAAAATTACTTGAGAAGCTGAACCTGAGAATCCATGTAGCTTTATCTAGATATGACTATATGTGGCTTTTGTAACAGTTGTTTAGTTTTTATAGTTGTCTTGGGCTACAAGTTATGTTTTTGCAAGTATTCTGTTAGGATTGTTTGAAGAAGTAACTTTTTTCCCCAGCCAGTGGTATACTTACAGCCTAAAATTATTTCATTGATGTGGAATTTTCTGACTAAAGTTACTGAAGTTACATAGTACTGAGGTACCATGTGGATATATCAGTAATTGTACCATAGTCCTTGGGGGTTCCTGTGTTCTTACTAACGTATCCAAGAATGAAAGACATCTGTAAGAAAGGAAAAGATTGTTTTAGCTGTGTTGTCTATTTGGATTGTAATTACGGAGGGTGGGGAATAGCGTCTCATCCTGTGGAATAGGCGGCATTTCCCCTGCTGGTAGCCTTTGGAAACACAGGCCTCTAAAACAGTGAAGAAATGTGACAAAATAGCCCTGAAATACAATTTGGTGACTGCAGAGCCTAACTCAAAACCTTATTGTTAGTTCCACTTAAGGAACACAACTACAGTAATTTTTAAGGTTTTAAACTTCAATCTTAATCAGGAAGTGAGGCCTTTTAATTATGGATTATAAGAACTTTCAGAAGTGGAATTCAATGATAGTACAACTTAAATGTTTGTTTACTCTCCTAAATTTAGATATCAAATTGAATGGATTTCAGAAAGATTCAGAAGAAAAGGTTAGTATATTTCTACAACTGAATGTATATATTAAAATAATTTAATAAGCATTAGAGAATATTTTAATTAAAAAACCCACCTAGTTCTTTTCTTCTAAAGAGCAGACATGTAGCTGTAGCAGCTGACACTGAACACTTTAGGTGAAAAAAAACTTAAAAGCTAACCTTTATTTTCTGCTTTTTGGATAGTAACTGCAAGTATTAAGTTTGCAGGGCACAAAAAGAAGGGAAGAAGCTTAGCAATAATATTGAAGTAGGAATGACAATACCATGACACAGAATCTATAAAGACTGTTACTTAAGCTAACCTGTAATAAAGACTTACTTTAGCTTAAAGCATATTTTCCACCAATTAAAGTTATGGTGGAGGCAATAGGAATGTCTTTGTGGAGGAACCAGTTGTCTGTAGCTGTCCTGTTTGGGAATAATGATTTGTGAGCAAAAAATTGTAGCACCAGTTTCTTTGACACGTCATTTGGTGATCCCACAGCTGCTCATGAGTGGCAGGTTTCACTGCTCATGGTGTAAAAGTGAGATAATAGTTTTGGAGTTACCTTTTACCGCACTTGTCAGCTCTTTTCTCAGTGATACTGAATCAGGGATGATTCCACTCTGGTGGGAGCCTGTGTGCTTGGGTGTTGCAAGGTACTTCCTGTTTTCTTTGACATGCATTTCTGCTGCTTCCTTTGACACACAGCATGAAGTGAGTTCTGAGGAACAACGGTCAGATGCTGATAAGTTTTTTTAGTTGTCTTACTTTTTAGCCAGGTTATCTTTTCAGTCCAGCTCCCCAGAAGGTAAGTGACAATGCAGTGCAAAAAAAGATGTGAACATGCACAACTGAAGGCAAGTGGAAAGATGGGTACCGTATCAACACTAATTTAAATAGCCTTAGTGCAGTCTGAATGCTACAAGTGTAGCTCACAAATAATACTGATTATTTTAGTAATTTTCCACTTGCAAGCACTGCTTTTGCACATAAAAGAAAGAAAACCTTGGAGGGAAGGAGGAATTCCCTGACAACTTGAAGAAAAAACAGTAGCAAAAATTCACTAATATATCAATGAGAAACATGCAACCCAGAAATACCTTGAGCAAGAGTTGAAGGTTCTCCAACCACTGATACAAACATCCAGTGGTCAGATGTTCCCTTGATTCCTCTCCTCTTGCCTTCTCTAGTCTTTCGTTCCAGCACTCCTCCCATTCTTGGTTTGCGGTTAGTAAGGTCCAAGCAACACTGGCAGCTTTTAATGAAGTTCTTGGCATTTGCCCCTGATTCATCTATTTGTGTGCTGTTGTCTGCAACCACAGTGTTACTTGGGTCTGCTCTGGTTCCTCTACATCATTATCTCCTTCTGCTGCCCCTCTGGGGCACAGTGCCCTCCTTGTACTTTATTTATTGTTTCTAGTCTCAGTTCATCCCTGAGCAGTTGACTGCTTTCAGGTCTGCACAGGCTGGACAAAGAAACTGTCATTGAAATCTGCTCTGTTGGCTGTTTCTGCATCAGAAAGTTTTCCTCAGGTGCAAGAAATCAAGTGAAGAAGGGAAGAGACCAGCATGGTTTATTCAAGACCTGCTGGCTAAACTAAAAGCCAAGTAGGAACTGCACAAGCAGTTCAAGCAGGGACAGGTATCTTGGGAAGAGCACAGGGGCACTGCGCAGTCATGCAGGTGTGGGGTGAGGAAAGCCAAGGCACAGCTGGAGCTGAACTTGAGAAGGAGTGCAAAGAATACAAAAATGGCTTCTGCAGGTATATCAGTCAGAAAAGGAGGGTCAAAGAAAGTGTCTCCCCTCTGGTGAGCAAGGATGGCAATCTAGTAACAGATGCCTCAGTCATTACTGGCTGTCTCTCTCCTCATACCTCCTGAGTTGAAGGACCTCAGGATGGGGACCATGGGGAGAAAGTCCCTCCTGCTGTAAGTGAACACAAGGTTTGTGATCACCTACGGAACCTGGAAATACATAAGTCCACAGGACCTGATGAGATGCATCACAGAATTCTGAGGGAATTGGCTGATGTAGTTGCCAGGCCACTCTCCATGATATTTGAAAAGTCATGGCAGTCAGGGCAAGTCTCTGGTGACTGGAAAATGGACCACAGGAGCTACCAACCTGTCAGCCTCACCTCTGTGCCTGGGAAGATAATGGAACAGATCCTCCTAGAAGCTCTGACAAGGCTTATGGAGGACAGGGAGGTGACTCGAGGTAGCCATCATGGCTTTACTAAGGGTAAGCCTTGCCTGACCAAGCTAGTAGCCTTCAACAATGCAGTGACTACATCAGTGGACAAGGGAAAAGCAGTGCATGTCATCTATCTGGACTTTGACACAGTCCCCCAGAACACCCCTGTCTGTAAGGTGGAAAGATAAGGATTTGATGGGTGGCCTGTTTGATGGATAAGGAATTGGCTGGATGGTCACATCCAGTGGGTAGTGGTCAATGGCTTAATATCCAGCTGGAGACCAGTGACAGGTGATGTCCCGTCAGGGGTTCATACTGGGACCAGTGCAGTTTAATACCTACATCAGTGATACAGAGAGTGGGATCAAGGGCACCCTCAGGAAATAAGCAGGTGACGCCAAGCTGACTGGTGTAGTCAACACATCTAAGGGACAAGATACCATCCTGAGGGACCTGGGCAAGCTAGAGCAGTGGACCCATGTGAACCTCATGAGGTTCAACAGGGCCAAGTGCAGGGTCATGCACCTGGATAGGGGCAGTCCTTGCTATCAGTACAGGCTGGAGGATGATGTGATAGAGAGAAGCCCTGTGGAAAGGGACATGGCGGTACTGGTGAACGAAAAGTTGGATGTGGACAAACAATATGCACTTACAGCCCAGAGGGCCAGTCGCATCTTGGACTGCATCAAAATAAGCATGGCCAGCAGGCCGAGGAAGGTGACTCTGCCCCCTCCTTTTGTGAGACCCCACCTGGAGTACTGTGTCCAGTTCTGGAGCCCTCATCACAAGAGGTACATGAACTTGTTTGAGCAAGTCCAGAGAAGGGCCACAAAAATGATCTGAGAGCTGCAACATCACTCCCAGGAAGACAGGCTGAGAGAGTTGGGGTTGTTCAGCCTGGAGAAGAGAAGGCTCTGGGGTGACTTTATAGTGGCCTTCCACTGCCTGAAGGGGGCCTACAAGAAGTCCCTGGGAAGGGACTCTTCACAAGGGCATGTAGTGATAGGATGAGGGACAATAGCCTTAAACTGGAGCTGGGTAGATTTATATTGGATATTGAGAAGAAGTTATTTGCTGTGAGGGTGATAAGTCTATACAGGAGTTTCTGTGATCAAAGATGGGTCTAAGCTTTTAAAGAATAAAGTGATTGGCTGCTGTCATCAACCACCTAGGCATATCTGCAAAATCCTCTATTGGAGAACAAAAGTGAAGGGAACAAAGGAAAAATCAATAAAGCCTTTTCCCTCATTAACCATATTCTTTCGATAATCTCTCCATTCTTGTTTGGTTTCTGTTTGGCCTAGCTGTAGCCAGGCTGAGCTGTGTTTTTCAGCACAGGAGAATATCTGATGCCACAGATATCAACTTGGCCATCTTCTGGTGCCTTCAAGATTTGTACCAGTCCAGAGTTTGCTATGCACTTTCCTTTCCCATGGGAATCTTTCCACTGAGGTGAGGGGCAATGAAACTGAGAGACAGAAGGAAATTGAGTGACAAAGGGAAACAGAAGTAGGTCCACTGAAGTGGAGTGTCCTGCTACATCCATTAAATACTTGCTGCTTTTTCCAGCTTCTTAGGAGATGGAGACATAGCATTAATTTACAGCAGGATACCAGTTCCAGTATTTCCAGCCTGATGTTCCAGTATGGAGCAATTTACAGCAATATGTGGCATAATTGTCTGCTGAATTAATCTGCTTCCTCTAGTGTGAGGTTCTGAATCAGCTGTGACTGGAGTTGACGCTGGCCATACTCAGCTGTTACCCAGTGTGTGCTTACTGGGTGCGGTGGGGAGACGAGATACTGGGCTGATGCTAGAAGGTCAGCAGGATTTGTGGCTGGATTAAGGGACACACTTTAATATGTTTTTTTTCTGGGATAGTGGGATTTAAATCAAGGCTTTTGAAGTAGTATGCTCATGCTCAGTGGGAGAGATTTGCAGGTGCCATGAAGTGGTTGGCATTTAAACCCTAAAATGAATCAACAGCCTTATGCCAAAGTGATACGTTTTTCTCTTTGACCTTCTTACATAGCTCTTCTGATGGAGGATGGACTTAAAACTGCATTTACAGTAGTGGTGATACTTAATGGGTGAGCCACTGATTAAAAGGGAATCCTGTTCCTCATTTGAGTGAGACTTAAGTGTTTTCAGACTGTATTTCCTGAACTGGGGTCCCACAGGAGAGAGAACCTGTTTGGTTCAGTTTCCAGCTGGCTCAGTCCTGCTCCTTTTAAACAGACAATTGAAGGTGTAGGGACCTTAGGCACTGGGCTTTAAGTGGCTTTTATGGGTAACTGGCAGCTGAGGATGGATGTTAGGGAGAGAAAGTTTTGACCTTCGTTATGTTTGGCAGATTTTAATTACTTGTGGAGCCAGTCCCACAGGATTTTGCCAATAGAAATGAGTGCTGAAGATGTATAAGCACTTGTGGTTGGATGGATGCCTCGTGAACACCAGTTGCATTTAAGTGTTGGATCTCAGCTGGCATTTGGGGTTTTAGGATCTTGCAAAATTCATCATTTATGCCTACCTGGTTCTTCTCCATTAGTATAAATGTAAGCTTTACCTACCCTTCAAAAAATACACCAAGCCTTTTCTTAGGAAATGTATTACAAACACGGTGGTTATGCCACAGTTCTTGAAATACAGAAAGTTATGGCAGTAGAGTTTTTTCCCAAATGTTTCAAGCTTGTATGAATTAGAAAAGTATAATTCAATACAGCAAAGTAATAAGTAGTCAGTACTTAAACAGGAGCAGTTAATTGCACAGGTACAAGACAGGAAGCAGCACACTGGATAATATTTTTTCAACAAAAAATCAGGGATTTATAATGACTTAGAAACTAAACATGAGTCAGTGCTCTCAGATTTCAACCCTTTCTGTTTTTATTATGTGTGACCGCCAGCAAAATTATGTTACCAGTGGTAAAAGGGTTCTTGCACTGCCCAGTATTGCCACGTGCTGGCAGCAAGGGTCTAAAAATGTAAGAGATTATAATATCTTAATATCCAATATTACTGAGCAGCACCACTATTGTGTACAAATGTTATGTAGAAAAATTGTGTGTTAGATCTGCTGAGGCATCTGATTTTCTCCTTCAGAAGCATTTGGAACAGGGGTAGGAAAGAAATTAAATGTAAAAGCTATTAGCTGATATAAAAGTGGTTGCGTCAATTGGAAGTGACTCAAAATTCTTAGAAAAACAGTAACAGTATTCCAAGAACAGTTAAGAGTTTTGTGGTTCTGTAGTCGGTGGGGAAGCTCAAATGTGCAGCCTTCCAAACATACTCCTAAAGTTTTGAACTGTAACTCATGAGGCACAAGTGCACTGTATCTGTTTGTGATCCACAGAAATAGAAAAAACTTGTATATTACTAACTATGCTTTTTATATTATTATGAATATGTTCATTTTAATTGTTTTTGAGCAACAGAAGTGTTTAATGCCCTTCTTTTAAAGCCTGTTAACACTCTCAGGTCATTGGCAAGGAATGGCGTAATACCTTGGACTCTCTTTGGATTTTCACTGCTAGGGAAGTCAGTGGCTAAAGTGCTTTACTTTTGAAACTGATACCTCAGCCTAACCTCTTGTTAAGAGATTGTTTTAGTTCATAGGGAAGACTTCAAGTCTTGTAGTTAATGCAAAAAAATTCAAAACAAGAAATTAGAATATATATATATGGATGACTTCTAAAGTGAGTATTAATTACATGCTTTTTAGAAGTTGTTCCCTTTCTTTTTGTAAACCTTTTTTTTTTTTCTTTTACTGTTTAAATTTTGCAGGACTTAAGTGCTGAAGATTTGATTCCAGAAATAAGTCCCTGTCTAGATGCTTTTCTGGAGGATATGGTAGTGGTTCCAAAGGACCAGACACCTGAAGATGTGTTTTCACATGTTTTAGAAGATTGCCAAAGAACCTGCATGGCCGTTATTGACACAGATAACAGAGTGAAAGAACATTCCTCTAATAATGGTACAGATCTTTCCCTGACATCCCTGGGGAAGATTTTCCTGGAAGAGACTGGTGAATTTGAAATTAGTGATTTGTTGAGATCCTTCAGTGACTCTGAGAGTCTTAAAATGATAAACCCATTGGCTGACAAGTTAGAGTGTCCAGGTCATGCCTTTTCCATTGATGCCTTTGCAGATGAGAGCAGCGATGCCCGGCCAGTACAGCTTGTGGCAGCACTGGATGCCTTGTCAGAATCTACAGTACAGCCTGTCACTCCTGTAGTGGCAAATGAGGGACATCTTGACACTGAGGGAGAGCAGTTGCATTCAGAACTCAGTATTCCCCAATTTGATGATGACTCTACACAAGTAACAGATGTGATTGACCCTCCGCTTGCTACAGCTCCGGTGGAAGAAATGAAAGCCTCAACATGTTCTGACTTGCAGAAGACAACAAATGAGCAAGTATATACACAGTTTAATTAATATTTGAAAAGCTATGTTTATCATAAAATGCTTTGTAGAAGAGCCAAATTATTTGGAGATGTGAGTCTTAGTAAAGAATTAAACTGGCATGAATAATTTACATGTTTAATACATTTACATTTTTTTAGTTTTATGTCTAGCAGTGTTTTTCTGTTTTCATGTATCCATGTTATGGAAGTGGCTGAGCATTTTGAGATGGGAAATCCTGGTAAAGTTAATTCAGTGACTGATGAGGAAATTTAGAATCAGTGTGGGAGTTTTAGAAACTTTAGGTCTGCTTCTGCCTTTTCTACCTAGATTCCAAGGAATGTTCTGAAACAGTATTTTGTTACTTCATTGTAACACACTCTGATAGACCAGCCAATATCAACTCTAGGTTTCCAACTCATCCAGTTCTGTTTTTCCTCCAGACTGTCTTAGTTCTCACTGCTGTAATATACAAACATTTTGCAAGTATTACAACATAAATTACAGTTAATGTCTTTCCTGCAGACCAGAAAGATTAATTATGGGGATTCATTACATGTATATTTAGAAGTGCATTTGTTATGTTTAGTTCTGCTTATATGAGACTGCCTTTAAAAACTGAGGCATAGTATTGTGCTCACATCCTCCTCTGCAAAAATCAGAATGCATGGATACAAGTGATGTTTCTTCCTGTTTTCTTCTCTTACCCTGTGCTGTTCTCTCCACAGTGTTATGTCGTGTGCTGTAAAGGTGGTCTGGAGTAGGTAATTGTCATTCAACAACATGAATGCAAAGATCTGGAGAAAAGCATGAAGGGAAAGCAAAGCTATAGTCTTTTCCTGTTTAGGTTACAGTAAGGGAGAGAGAAGGACACATAGGAGAAGTATCTTTATGCTGTAGAGTGTAGAGGACACTTGTAAACCTGGAATCAGGTTCTATGCTGTGTGGTCTTCTAATAATCTGGAGCTGCAAATCAAAGATCAGCCATGTATAACTAGCTATTTAAGGTGGGTTTACAGCCACTTTGCTTCTCTACAATGGCATAAACCATCCAGAGACTATGAGTTAATTCTGTCTTTTGCTGGTAGTATTAACTCAGGATTACAGTATGTAATACGCCACAGGGGTAGCCAATTTCAAGGTGATGTAAGGTCTCTAGGCTAATTGTCTCAGGACTATAGCAACTTAGAAAGCTTTTTCAGTGAAGTGTTGATTTCTGAAATTTGTAGCACAGTTGTGTGAAGCTTAATATAAAGATTTACTCAATGTTGCAGTTAAGATTTGAAGCAAGGTCCTACAGCAATGGGGAATCTATAACCTCTTGTCAATTAATAACCAATTTTAGCGCTTTTTTGATGCGTCTGTCTGATGTTCTTGAAGGCAGAAAGTAGGGAGGGAATTTAATGAGGAAAAAATTTCAGTTATTTTTTTTGTTGTGTTTTAAGAGTATATTGTTCACCTTTGTTCTCATACTGCTTTCTTCAGACTTGTGGTGAAATAAGTACTCCAAAGAGGGTAGCCTGTACTGTCCTGCACATGCAATCAGGATGCTGAATAGCCCATTTGTTTTAAAATACGGTCCCTTATAAAGCAAGTGAGGTTTTTTTCTCTTTGGAATGTTTTTGTCTTCTCTAATTCCCCTGCCATAGCTGATATGATTCAGTGGAAAGTACTGCATACAGTCTTGTAAACTGAAATATTTGGTTTTCCCCAACTGCCATCTTAATGTGCCTTCTCTTGACCTGCAGGGACCGCTATTTGTGGTTCACCTCTCTAGTAGCCAGCCTCTTCACTAAGTATGTCACTTCAAAAAATAAACCTGCAAATCCTCCATTTCCATCTGTCTGAAGAAAGGACTAACAAGTTCTGCCACATCGACTGTGAAACAATTCATATGTGTGTGTGCTTAGGGTGTGTTCTAAGAGCTTTCAGCAATCATGTAAACATCAGAAAAAACTTCTTTACTGTGAGAGTGACAGAGCACTGGAACAGGCTGCCCAGAGAGGTTGTGGAGTCTCCTTTGCTGGAGACATTCAAAACCCACCTGGACACGTTCCTGTGTGATGTGCTCTGGGTGATCCTGCTCTGGCAGGGGGGTTGGACTAGATGATCTTTTGAGGTCCCTTCCAAACCCTAAGATTCTGTGAAGATAGTGATAGGACAAGGGGTAATGGTTTTAAACTGAGAGAAGGGAGATTTAGGTTAGATATTAGGAAGAAATTCTTCACTGTAAGGGTGGTGAGGAACTGGAATGGGTTGCCCAGGGAGGTTGTTGATGCCCCATCCCTGTAGGTTTTTAAGGCCAGGTTGGACGAGGTTTTGTGCAACCTGATCTAGTGGAAGAGTTCTCTGCTTATGGCATGGGGGTTGGAACTTGATGATCTCTAAGGTCCCTTCCAATCGTAATGATTCTATGATTCCATGATTACTCAAGTGTGTAATAAGCTAATGAGTATGCAGGTTTCATCAGCTTGAGTGATACTCAGCAGCATGTCATACTTAGTTGATTGAAACAGTGAATTAACTCAAGTAACTGAAATTAACTGCCATGTGATGAAGTATCTTTAGGATGGTATTTCTCTCCCTTACTTTTGGAGATAAGCCTCTGATACAAACCAGCCAGGCTCCCTTCTGCGTAACTTAGAATAAGGTGAATCACCTTGATCTCTGAAAGTTGCTTTTCCTCTTCACCAGTGGTTGGGGTAATGAGGATGCCTAGTGTCATCTAGATGCCTGGCTTATATAAGGCTGAAAGTAAGGGAAGTGGCTCTTGTCTGTGGTGGCTGCAGCTCGGGGCTGATATGGTTTTAGAAATAAATTCTCAGCTGGGAGTTACTGAACATCAGATGAAACATGGTTCTCGATCTTGTGCACATTTCTAGGCTTGTTCAAGAGTGAAATAAGATGGGCTAGCTTAAAGTATCTTAAACATCACGTAATTTTTTAGAACAGGAACTCATGTCCATAGGAAACTGGAAAGAATCTGTTACGTCGTGTTTTATGTCCCACCAAACAACTTTCAGGTAGTAACAACTTCTGTTTACTGTCAGTCCACCTAGATTTGTTATTTAAGTTGTGATTCTGAGTATCCTAATTCTCTTTGCTAATTCTGCCAGGAGCATATGGTGGTGATTTTAGGAGTGTCTGCCCTTCCTTTGGCAGCCCCTGTCTGTAATATCTGTAGGCTTCCAGTTACTCACGTAAGCAACCCCTCCAATAAGACAATGTTCTTGGAGTGCATATATCTATATCTATACTTCATTTTATCTGCATGCTTACTATGTAATTTCATAATGTTTCTTTTTTGATCACAGCCTGTGGGAGTTCAGCAGAGAGAGAAAGAAGGAATTTCAGAACACTGGGGTGCCAACTCTAGTGAAAAGCAAGCCGGGGAGGGAATTACACGTTCAGTGGAGGCTGCAGAAAGTGCAGAAACTGCCAAAAAAATAGTAGGGA